CCCGACGGAGATCCGTCTCTGGTTTCTGCCTCAATACAGCACTGACGACCAATTTCCGATTCACCGTGCCTCTCGCAGGTGGGCGATAGCGCCGTCCGCGGCTTGTGAGTTCCCTAATTGCTGCCTATTTCGAGACTACTGCTGACTCGTACTGGCACTTCGATCTGCCCCTCAGCGGTTTTGGTCTCGGTGCGGGCATGGCAGGCAAGATTCTTTGAAGCGATTCCCACGCTTCTTCTCAAGACACACATCTTTGATGAGTTCACAAATTGGTTCATTGCAATCACTTTGCAGCTCGACAATCTTCGAGTTCTATTTGAAAAAGTGTCTGTGCCTCACATATTCTCCTGTCGATTCGCTCGGAGCTATCACAGTGCTGACTTTTGAAGACTCTAGCGGTCAGTGCCCAGCGCTGTTTTTGCAGTCTCGCCTCGCGGAAGGCGAGCTTGTCACATTGTCCATGTGTGTTCTTGTGTCTTCTTTTGACCTACTCCCAGCCGGAGTGACCATCGTCGACACCAGACAGGACGCCTTCTGCGCTGTCTTCGCCGTCGTCCGCATCAGCATACTCCTCGTCATCGTCGTTGTGCTTGGCATGAGGTTTGCGGTCGATGGTGAGTGGAGTGAGCAGGTCTACCACCTCTTTCACACTGGAGTCGACATCGTTCGAATTGTTTGGCGATTGATGGGCCGATTCACCATTCTTTTGATCGTTGGCTTCTTCACCCCATCCATCGTCAGCTTGCTCTCCCTGATCCGCGCCTTCTTCAACGTCAGGCTGCTCCGCCTCCTCTTGAGGGGCGTTCCGCTTCTCAGTGCCCCCATAGGGCACATCGTCGTCTGCATCGGTGCGAGGGGGACGATTGCGACGATCACCATAGCCCGAATCTTGAGTCTTGGTGGCAAACCCATTGACGTCCTCCGAGCCGTTGAAGCTCATGTATCCGTTGTCTCCAGCAGCGCTCAGACCAAAACGAGCTGGTGGCGGTTGTGAGCTGACACAGATGAGGTGAAGTAGCCGAAGGGTCAGCGAATGAGATGGCCGGAACACGCGGTCAAGAGGATCCTCACCAGTCAGCAATGAAATGACCTGGGTCTCCGCATCGGAAACATGCGCGACCGCCTCCACCTCCCCCTTGCGGTCGATCGTTGCCGTATCGATCGCTGTCGCCTTGGTCGTAGCCGCCTTCATTGTGGTTGCGTGGTGCACCCCATTGGCGCGTCTTGCTGCCGTAGCCACCGCCTTGACCATAACCGCCATTCTCTCCTCCGCCTCCGTTAAACGACTCAGGGCATTCACGTGCCTGCTCAAGGAGGGTTCGGAGGGTTCGGTGTCTCTGATCAGTCGTTCGGATCAAGACTGTCGAGCACCGTACACCCACAGCACTCACGAAGTGTCCGGGCTGCACAAACGTCGTGACAAGGCAAGATCATGCTTTGGCTTTCTCATGTCTGAATGCGGCTCGATGAACCAGCGCACAATGACTTACCTCCCCGCACTGCAAAGACGAGGACAGGCAGGATACGTTGAGTCATGGCAATGTTGAGCGCAACCGGGGCGCTTCAATGTACCTTGTAACAGTTCCTGACGACCGGTGGTTGAGGGCACTGTGGTTCTCAAAAGATCAGCCACGTTTAGAGCTCTACAATGCGGACAGCCCAGGCACGACTTACTTCGCCTTTCCAATGGCCGTCCTAGCAGAGGGTTGGTGAGGTATCGCAGTTTGACGAATAGACACTCAGAGATTGACCGCTGCATTGGGACCCGAGAGCGCACATACCTCTCCGCAATCTGGTCCGTCCCGAGGGGATGGTCCTTGTCAGCTCTTTAATCTTAGCTATCAAGCAGACGAAGCAGTACAGCCCACTCACTGAAGCTGATGGCCAGGTGTGCGCGGATGCCAATTAGGGATGGAGAGGTCGACATGT